ATGATTAACACCCTCCACAATAAAAATGATTAATCAACCTCTCATAATTACAAAAAAATGAAYAAAATGAAAAATTATGATTGATTGAATGCGGTTTGCACGGTTTGTACAAATTGAGTGGTTTGCATTTGTACAAAAAACTGTACTACCATATTGTGGTATAAATAAAAACTGTTTGTGAGAACCGTATTCACGCAACGTGCTAGTGCTGTCTTTTGATCCATTTTTGATTTTGATCCATTTTTGATCCATTAACAATTTTTATATCAACCCAAATCAAATCCAAATCCTTTTTATCAAATATTACTTTCAAATAGAATAAGACTTATAAATCACTCACATATTAGCTCCTCTTCTTATGGGGGATTCAACATTTTATACATTTGTAAGTCAAAGACAAAAAAACACCCAAAAAAATGAAGGGGTTAATCCTAAATCCGTTTACATTAACATCTAATTTATCAGTTAGTTTTTATTGACCATTAAAATCTAATTTATCAGTTAGTTTTTATTTATTATGATCAGTTTATCAGTTAGTTTTTATTGTGATCAGTTTTATGATACAGATAATCAATTGATACGTGTAAGTGGTTGGAATTAAAAGATACACACTTTTAACCTGTATTTTTGGATAATATGAAGTTTTGTTATATAATTGGTCTTACCAAAATTAACATGACACAAATACATCAAATGGCTTTCAGATTCAGAAACATAGTTTATTGGTTCTCTTCATTGTTGAGAGAGAGAGAGATATCTACATCTGTTCAAACACCTTTATACAGATGATCATTCAGATCCCTCATTTTTTTAGATAATTCCTTTTTCAACCCATCCAAACTCGTTCCTTTTTTTCCGACTCAACTCACATGACCAAACTCTCCCTTACTCGTTTAACTCGGTCCCCAGCAGTTCATATACATAACCTGTCGGATAGAATCATCCGACTGCTTCCTCCGCTCATCTCCGCCTACAAATCTTCCGACGTCGGAACCTAGCACGCCCAAAAACGGACGAAGTTCCGTACGATCAACCACGACGGAAGAACCAAACGCCTTCTTACCTTGCTGGAATGACTTCATGCCTGACTTTAGCTTATGGCCTTGATCCGTGTGGCCGTTAACGACGGCGACACCGGCGGTCATCCACACTCGGTTTAGGTGACTCATCGTGAAATAATTTTTCCCTAAAATTTCGATTTGATTCGACGGTGTTTGCCGATATGCTTTGGTGTTGCAGATGAAATGGATTTAAACTTCGCAGGGGGTATTTATATGAGAAGATGGACCGGCGGTTCTCGTTAAACCGGTTGCAAAAAGGGTAGGGGATAAGAGCGGTTTGGGAAATAACCGGAAGCGTAGAAGTCGAGACTTTTGGACGCGTGTTATATTTGGACGTACATGGTACAAATTTTCGAACGAACATATCGTGTTTATATCGTCAGCAGAAAAATCATGTGAGAAAAAAMATTAAAATGAGAAGAGTAAGAAATAATCTGAATCCTTAATTATTTTTAATTTAAAATTAATTTATGAATTGTGTTTGATATGAAAATTAATTTAATGTATCTTATTTTAATATGCATCTAATGATAGAGATTTTTTTTAAGGGTTGTTTGTTTATCTCTTAATAGTTTTATTAAGAGACAATCTTTGAATCGGTAAGAGGTGAATCTTGTTTGACAAAAAAAAAAATCTGCCTTAACCATTAATACCCTTTAAATGATTTTTTATCATAGATCTCCCTTAACCATTAATAGCTCTAATTTCATTATATACGATTACCAAATAATTATATTTCATTTTGCATTATATCATAAGAGTCTTTTAATCATTATGGTCACTTAATCATTCTGCACTAAACCATTCAATAATTACCAAACAACCCTTTACACTCCTTACATTAACTCTCATTCTCACTAAAAATACAACCCTTTTACCGTGAAAAAGGATATAAAAATATGTGATTTTGATTTGTATGAAAACAAGTACCAATGGAAGCAACGAAACTTATTTTGGTCTTTGGGGTCCACCAATCAAAACACATCATAAAGTCGGTTGTGAATCTAATTTTTCAAATGGCGAGAAGTTATAAGAATTCAAAATATCGTGATATAATGGAAAAGGCATTTTGGGAAGACACGTGTAACGCTTATATAACATATTACCAATGACTCATCATATTAGTGTGTAGTGTAGCCTCATGCCTGTCCTATTTCAGTATTCATAATCATGGCATGGCCTCCTCTTTTTAATATATAAAAAAAGTAAATTATTAGTCCCTGTACTTATATAAAAGTTACAAATTAAGTCATTTTAAACTTTTTCTTACAGATCAGGTATCTGTTGTTTGCCTTTTGTTGTGGGTTGGATCGTTGATATTAACTTCGTTAATATAATTCTAAGGCTATTTAAGTCATTTTACATTTTTAATTCATTTTCTCTTTTAAGAGACGAAGTCTATAATGCTGGAATTTTATCTTTTGGTTTATAGGTTTTTATATATTCTGGCTAATTTGAAAAATATCACCTATTGTCCATTATTTCGTCTTAGTCTCATCGAAGCAACAATGAATGACCTAAGATTTGTTAACAGATCCAATGGCCAAAGGTTCCTGCTTCCATTTTGTTTGTACAACTACGATCAATTGATACTGAATATTGTAAATGATTTGGATAATCTCTCTTTTTATCTCTGATCACCCAGAATTTTGGTTTTTAACTGTCTTTTGATTAATTCGATAACTGTTTCTAGTAACTCAATTTTTAACGAATCCTTGATTTTTATCAGGTTTGAAGGTGTGTTAGGTTTTTTCCATCGTTTTTGTGATTAGGTTTAGTTTGGGTTGAATTTTGCTAATTAGAGTTTATATTTGGTAATCAAGGTTTCGATTTGGATTTATTTGATACGTGAGTGCATGACAAGAGATGAGGAAGGTATTTTATGTTTTATTTTTATTATTAAAAGCTTTACACACTTATATAAAATATTATTTGTTCCCAAATTGAACAAATAAATATTGAAGAAATAATTAATATATTGTTATATTAATAAATAAATTTTTAATAAAATTAATCAATTAGGAAAAACAAACAACAAATAGTAAGAATTTCAAAAGGCCAAATCGGTAATTTTATATAACAACAGATATTATATTAGTAAAGCATTATTTTTGCAACGTCCTTCTGATTTGATTTTGTCGTTTAGTATCGAATTGGATGTACGCTTAAAACAAAGACAAGAACACGTGGGTTTGACAGGGACAACTAAATAAGAGGGAAATTTACACAAATGCCATCTTCTACGATTAAATTCACTTCTTAATTATTTTTTTCATCTATTTGTTTAAAAGTCAATAGCTCCATAATACTCAGGTATGTAATTATTACAGATTCATCAAATGACAAAATTTTAAAACTTATTTTCCTTGAATCTGTAATGTCAGATTCATAAGCATCTACTTTCATAAAAAATGGATTTTGGACCGGATTTATAATAATTATGGATCGATGGTTACGGACCTGAAACAAAACCAATTGTTGAGAGTTTAATTTGGTTGTGGATATGGAGTCAATTTCCCTAAATAAAAAAGAACTGCAACAACTTTTGTCTTGTTTCATTTAAAGGGGACGATGGGTGTCACGTGATCAGGATCTTTTTCCATGTGGTCATCAACCAACAACAAATTCTTATGACTCACATTTTGTTCCATAAACATAATTTTCTTTGCACTTTTATGGTAAAAAATGATTCAACCTATTAATTCAATCTCAATCCAATTCAGAATTAGTATGTTGGATTGAGATTTTTAACTCATTTAAATAAATGAGTTGGATTGAGTTGAATTTTTTGATCCGTTTTCAACATGTTTCCAACTTATTTATAATATTTTATTTTATTTTTAACATTATATCTAGTATCTAATTTTTAATTTTGTTTTATTCTTAGTTAAAATTCCTACCGTCGTGAGATGAAAGTCCAAATTCCAATCACCTCCATTACTCTTAATCATCATGAAACCGTAAGAGAACCCTTTAGTCCGTTACTCCATTATCGCCTCCAAAGTCTAATCCAACTTTTCAAGTCTGTTGTCCGCCTCTCGCCCTCTCGATCTCGGCTCTCTCTCTGTGCAACATTTTTCTTCCTCTCAGCTCTTTCTCCATCTAGCATTTGTCTAATCGTGTCTCTCTCAATTTTCTCTCCGTCCAGGCGTCCGACATTAGTGACTCAACAGGCTCTCCGAGTCTCCATCGGACATCTGTCTCCAGTCTCCAGCCTCTCGTCGAACACACATTCAAATCTCAATAGTAAGCTTTCTGTTTTATAGTTTTAACACTCAATTCTTATGCATCGATAAGTAATATATTAATATTGAACAAACATTCAAATCTCAAAGTTTAGTCAACAGTACCATTTCAACAATATGGTTAATATTAATAATATTTCCTTTTTTCGTCCAAGTTCCGGTCTATTGTTTACTATTCCAATAGTAAGTTCATTATAATGTTTGTTTTTTTGATATGGTTCTTTTATAGTAACCGCTAACCAATATTATTTCAATGATTATTGATTAATATTATTTCATTTTGGGAAACAAATATGAAACTGTTTATAACTTTTGTGTGTTTATTTCAGTGATTAATACTAGTAATATGGTTGAAATTTTTGAAGAAGATGATCTACAAAGTCCCCCACCTCCATCAAAGAACAATGAGAAGAAATCGATTAAACCAAACAAATCTGGTGTGGAATTCAAATGTCAAAGAAAACTTACATCTGACCTATTTAATTAAATAGTCTAATTCTAAAATTAAATAGGTCAACTCAGATTCAACTCATTTATTTAATAGGTTAGGTTAACAAATCAACCCGTTATCAATCCATTTAGGTAACAGGTTGAGTTGGATTGAAAAATCTCAACTCATTTAATTAAATAGGTTGGGTTAGATTAGGTTGAGATTTTTAACCTGTTTAATAAATATCAACCTAGCTGACCCATTTTTGCTCCTACTTTTATGGCAAGTTCAAAAAAGTTTTTAAATTTTATGAATTAAACATTTTGAGGTTTCTTATTTCAAGAGACTCGTTAAAACAGTTTTTTGAATAGATAAAAAAATAGAAAAATTAATTGAAATAGTTATTTTATGAGTTGGTTTTATCTTTTAATTATTTTTCTTTCAATATTTAAAAAATGTCATTTTCTTTGTAAGTAGCAATTCCTTAACTTACGAAGGGGTCAAAGCGTAACAAAGTTTCTGTACCAGGTCCGTAAATACATGGACCAAATATGTAAATTAGTATCAACACCTCCGCGAGTGGTGGATAGGCATGGGAATGGGGCGGGGACCTCAATCCTCGTCCCCGATTACTTATCTCTATCCTCGTCCCCATCCCCATCCCCAACGGGGAAATGAGGATTTTTTTTTCCCGTTTATACAAGTTATTTTGAATTAAATATGTGAGAGACCATACATGTTTAAATCTCAAACATTTTCAATAAACCTAAAATTAAAAATGAATTTAATTTAATACAAAAAAACCACAACATCATATAAGAACTAATAACCAAAAACAAAAAAAAAATCAATTTAATCAAAAAAAACTTAAAGTCACATGTACCAAAAGATATTGAGTAATATAAAACCATATCGAGTAATATACAAAAYTTRTCGAGTAATTGTATTTTGACTTGACATCCAAAATATTACATATTAACATCCAAAAAGTAACAATTTTAGATTATAAACCTAGTTAGGAGATAGGAAATTATTAATTATTGTTTTAGTTGAAATAAATAATATATATATGTATGTGTGTGTGTATATATATATATATATAATTAATTAATTAATATATATGTATATATAGCTAGTACGGGGCGGGACGGGGCGAGAAGTACCATACCCGTCCCCGTCCCCGGTTTGAGACAAACGGGGATCCCCGTCCCCATCCCCGATTTAGCGGGGGAATCCCCATCCCCGACCGGGGTTTCCCGACGGCTCGGGGGCCATTCTCATGCCTAGTGATGGAAGTGCTCACCTATATCTAATTTACAGATTTGGGCACTGCACTTACGAACCTGGTTTAGAAACTTTTTTTTTTTTTTTTACATTTTGACCCTCTGCAAATTACGGAGGTAATGACATATTGTAATTCTTGAAGAGAAATGACTAAGAGGTGAAATCACAAACCAAAAATAGATCTTTTAAGTAATTTCCCTAAATTTTAAAAAAGAAATTTGTATACCAGTTTTTT